GCAGGCAGCCCAGAGGCCGGGTGTGCAGAGCACAGCTGGAGCACTCCCACTCCGCAGGCAGCAGGGAGCACAGAGGAACGGGTGTGCAGAGCACAGCTGGAGCACTCCCACTCCACAGGGAGCACAGAGGAATGGGTGTGCAGAGCACAGCTGGAGCACTCCCACTCCGCAGGGAGCACAGAGGCCGGGTGTGCAGAGCACCGCTGGAGCACTCCCGCTCCGCAGGCAGCAGGGAGCACAGAGGCCAGGTGTGCAGACCACATCTGGAGGCCACAACAGGAGGATTCTTTGAGCCCGGGAGGTCAGGGCTTCGTTGAGCTGTGACTTCACCACTGCACTCTGGCCCAGGCGACAGTGAAATCCTGTCTCAGAAAGAAGAGAGAAAAAAAGAAAAATGTGGAAGTCAAAGTTGACAGCAGCACTGAGTTCGAAGCCCGCTGCCCCTGGGGAGTGAGGGGCTAAGCTGGGCCGACTCTCCTCCATCCTGAGAGGCGTTCAGGCAGGGCAGGTAGGCGTGGGGCCCGTGCGGGTCTCTGGCCATTTCTGGACGGCAGGCAATGCTTTCTTCGTGAAATGCGTCAAGAAAACACAATGCTTGGTTTCTGGGCTTTTCCGAGGAACAGTAACCTGAGCAGTCAGCGGTCGGATTTGTGTTCTGACACGGCTCAGTGCAGCCTGCACGCCCTGCGCCAGCCCTTCCTGTACTTCGGCTGTGGCTGATGCCTTCACGGCACCCCTGGTGGGCAGCAGCCGCACGACCGCCTGCCTTCAGGGGTTAATCTCATTTATTTCCTCCTCTCCTTTTTTTTTCTAGCCGCCCAGGCTGGAGTGCAGTGGTGCGATCTCGGCTCACTGCAACCTCTGCCTCTTGGGTTCAAGTGATTCTCCTGCCTCAGCCTCCCAAGTAGCTGGGATTACAGGCATGCGCCACCACACCTGGCTAATTTTTGTATTTTTAGTAAAGATGGGGTCTCACCATGTTGTCAGGCTGGTCTCGAACTCCTGACGTCAGGTGATCCGCCCACCTCAGCCTCCCACAGTGCTGGGATGGCAGGCATGAGCCACTGTGCCCGGCCTTTCCTTCTTTCTTTAATGGCGAAGGGAGGAGCACCAAGCACCACATGGTCTCAGCTTCTGATCCCAGCCCCGAGTCCCTGCCCACTGCCCTTGGCCCCACCCACCGAGTTTTGGCTATGAGGAAAGGGGACCTTAAGGGGAGGTGTCAAGTCTCAGGGGCCGTCCCTGCCGTGCGGGGTCTGTGAGGCCTCCTGCCACGCGGGCTGGTGTGTGCAGAACCATGTGGCCTTTTCCCATCTCAAATGCCCCTGTCCCTGCCCATCCACTCCCCAGCCTGCTCACCCCTCCCCACCCCTTCCAGATGTCTCCTCTGGAAGGGGAACTGGCCGTAGGGTGACACGAGGTGTCCAGCTGCAGTGCGGGGTCTTAGAAGGCCTGGCCGGGTGCGGGGCCCTCTGCCCTGCAGGCCACTGTGTATAGCCCTGTCCTTAGAGGTGACCTTGCCCAAGGCCTGCATGCACCTTGGCTTCTGTGGTAGCAATGATGGCAGCGTGCTGCCACCTCCTGCAGTCACCGCCCCTGGGCTGCTGGGGTGGAGATGGCTGTGGTCACCTAGTACACATGCCTGGCCTCAGGACGGCCATGGTGCCTGGCCAGGTGCAGGGTCCCAGGGCACCTGAATCCCTGCCACTGTGCAGTGTCAGGGCCACACGCCTTAGGCTGTGCTCGTCTCTGCAGAAACGTGCTGGCCCCTTACGCAGTGCCCTCGGATCTCGTGCTGGTGGAGCAGATCCCACGGAACCAGATGGGCAAGATTGATAAGAAGGAGCTCATCAGGCGCTTCTACCCCTCATGACCCTGGTGCCAGGGGCTGGGCACTCGGACCGGAGGTCTGGCAGGGGTCGGCAGATGCCGCCTTCATGCCCCGGGGTCTGGGCAGAGACCTGGCCTCCCTCAAAAATCAAACCCGCAAATCACGGCACACAGAATCAACTGTTCGAGATGAAATCACCTCGTGAGGCCCCCAGCCTCGGGCCAGCTGTCGCTGCATAAGGAAACTGTCCCTGTCCCCGGTGTCAGCTCTGCCTGGCCACCACCGACCTCACCCATGCAGCGTGATGCAGCCACGCTCCATTGTGGCCTGGTTACCACTGCCCAGGATGGACGTGCATTGAGCCAGGCAGATCTGGAGAGGCGGTGGGATGCAGAGGGAGCGCCCTGCGGAGGCCACTCGGTCATCAGGAGCTGAGCCTCACCCTGGGAGTCTCAAGGGTGGTGTCCCGTGGCCTTGGCTGGCAGCCGACCGGTCTGCAGTCTCACTGGATGGAGACCCTGAGCTCCCGAGGCATGGCCAGTCGGGGTGGGGCCGGTTCCCTGGGGCCATCTGCTGTGTCCAGGAGCCTGGCGCTGCCATTGGCCTTGCCCCAGGGCCCAGCTCTGCTCTTCGTCCCCTCACCTTCCCTCCGTGGGTCCCAAGTGTGGCAAGTCTTTAAAGTGGGACAGCCGGCGCCAGCCCTGCCCCCAATGGGTCCCTCGGCCACTCAGGGCCTGTGTCCTTGTCCGTGACACAGGAATAAGGGCCGCTTGTGCAAGGGCATGAGAGGGTCCCATGGAAGTTGTGTTTCAGAAGGTTCCTAGCCCAGCTCCCAGGGCAGGCTGCAGGCTCAGCAGGGGTTCTTCGTCTTGCCCTCGGTCCCTGACCAGCAGGTTCCCCAGGGCTGTCCCGGCTGGGATGGGTGGAGCTTGGTGCTACAGGCCAGCGAGCGCATCTTCAAAACCCACTGTGCTTCCAGGGCCTCAGGAGCACAGGGTGGGTGCAGGGCCCCAGGCTCCGCCAGCCATGCCCTGACCATCTGGGCCGGAGGCTCCCCTGCTGCCCTGCTGTGCGTCTGCAAGGGAGCGCCCTTCCTAGCTTCATTCCCTGTGGCCCCGCCCCAGCCTCCCTGGGGCACACGGGCGTGTGTGTGAGTCCACATCAGCAAGCAGGTGTCCAGCACATCACACACACGCGGCCGCGTCACAGAGGAGTGAGACGGACTCCCCGTGTGTCCACGTGGGGGCGCTGTCGGGCAGCTCAGGCTCGGGGTGCGATGCAGGATGCGGGCGCATCCGGCGTCCTTCACCCATGGTGGCCCTAGCCACAGCCCTAGTCCTCTCTGGAGCATGAGCCAGTGCCCACCCAGGCAGCCCGTCGTCATCAGCTCACAGCACGCGTCCCCCATTGACAGTCTGGTCACTCACAACCATTCAGTTATCCCAGAATGGCTGCAGGTCACAGAGTCATCAATCTTACTTCCACCTGCCAGCCCTCCCCAGCCTCGCAGCCAAGCCCATTAAGACAGCAGCAATGCCAGCGGCATGTGGCGTCTTTACGGCATCAGCAGCAGGCCCAGCACTCCCACTCCGCTGGGAAACAGCCGCCTCTTAGCTGGAAAAAAGACGACACGCCGTGCCAGCTAATGGCTATCCCCTGCACACGCACATACATGCACACACAGACACACGTGTCTGTAAACAGGTCTGGCCTCAGAGCCACCCTCCAGGTGGGGCTCCCGCAGGCCCCAGCATCTGGTGACAGCCACAGCAGGATCAGAGCAGCCTCAAGGGCCCGGTGGGAGTGGGCAGGGCTGGCCCCAGGCTGAGCTTGGGGAGGTGGCCCAGGCCTGCGACTCACACTTTCTAATTCTCGGGCGGGGACCACACAGCCCCTCCCAGTCTGCGAGGAAGCCCATGTGTTCATATCCTGCTTCTGCTGTCCCCAGGACAGTGAAATCTACTAATATGGCATAAGAACATTTTTTAAAGCCATTTTAAACATCGAGGACAGGAGAGATGACGGCCAACCCTGTGCGCCTCCCCACCAGGTTCAAGGAGCCTGAGCCCTCCGGCCTCCTGAGCCTCTGGCTTTCATCAGGTGGGCGCCTTCCCAGCCCACGGGGCTGGCTGCTCACAGGGCTCCAATGCCTCCGTGCTGTTGTGGGTCTAGGTTTCAGTGCTGGCACATCTGACAGAGCTCAGGTCCTCTGTGAGGGACGTTTCAGGCTCCCACATGGACTTCCTTGTCTGGTCGTCCTCAGGTCACCCCGTGGGGCGCGCTGACCCCAGCAGTTGGACGCTCCCCCTCCAAGAGCAAAGCTGCAGTCGGCTGCAGGTGCGGCCTCTTGCACAGTGGAAGAATTTCTCCGGAAAACATTCCTGCGAGTGGAGTCACTGGAACATAGGCCCAGATGTCTTCCACTTGCTCCGTTTTCCTGATGCCGTCTGAGGAGGCTGCGCACGGCGGGGGTGAGACGCTCCATCACACCAACAGGGCAGCAGCCCCCGGCCAGGGGCCCAGTTCTCACCTCAGTGCTGAGTGTGAGGTGCAGTCTTCTGATTTTCACTTGCATTTCCCTGATGACCAGTTAGGGGGGACATCTCCACTCTGTTTCTGGGCCGTTTGGTTTTCTTACTCTGCAAGTCACCTGTTCCGGTTCTTTGCCCATTTCCTGTTGGCTGGTCACTATTTTTTGTGATTGTACATGGGTTATTGTGGCTGGCCTTTGGCTTCATTTGTTATATTGATGGATGTGCAGAATTGTTAAATTTTAATATATTCAAATGCATTAATCTGTACTTATGGTTTGGGTTTTGGGGATCTTATCCTAAAAAAAGCATTTCTTACTCAAAGCTTTTAAGTATGTTTTCACATAGTTCTTCTAAAAGTTACAAAGCTTCGCTTTTCTCACTGAAGCCGTGAATTCACTGGAAATGCACTTGTGTGTGGTTTGAAGTGCAGGCCTGATTTCCCCCCAGCACGTTCACCGAGTTGCCCTTCTCTCCCCACTGCGCTGCCCCTGTGCCCCGGTGCCCTCTGCCGCCAATTCTGCCTGGTCCAAGTCCCCGTCTCCAGGCTGCCCTGGGCTCCTCCCTCCTCCCATAGCTTCTCCGAGGCCTTGGTGTCTGGCAGGACGGGGCACCCCTCTGGCTTCCTCCACAGCGTGGTCTGAGCTGTTCCCGCTCCTTTCCTCTTTTTTCTTTTTCTTTCTTTCCTTTTTTTTTTTTTAAGGCTGCATCTTGCTCTGTTACCCAGGCTGGAGCGCAGTGACATGATCTCGGCTCACTGCAACCTCTGCCTCCCCAGTTCAAGCAATTCTCCTGCCTCAGCCTCCCGAGTAGCTGGAATTATAGGCGCCCACCACCACGCCTGGATAATTTTTGTATTTTTTGTAGAAAGAGGTTTCACCATGTTGCCCAGGCTGGTCGCCCGTGTTGACAGGCTCCAAGGCTCAGGCCGTCCCACCACCTCAGCCTCCCACAGTGCTCTGCATCACAGGTGCGGGCAGCACGCCCAGCCCTTTACCCTTCCACCTGAATTCCAAGAGCAGCTTAACGTTCCTTTTTAAAACCTCCTTGAGGCCAGCGGTAGGCAACGGGCTTCGTCATCCTGCTGCCTTGCCTAGCTGCTGGTTGTTTCGTGAATGAGCAGCAGACTTTATGGAAATGTCTCCGTTTCTACTAAATCGGCGAATACTTTTCGTCTTCGCTCTGTTAGGATGAACTCCTGGAGGACTTCCTGCTGCTCCTGGGACGGACCCTGCTTGGTTGTGTGTGCACGTGTGGAGAGTGAATTCTTACATTGAATCTGACTGTTGCCCCAAGTCCTTGGAATCTTATTTCCAATTTCAAAACCCCAAAAGCTCTGAAAATCAAAGGGTTTTTTGTTTTTTAATGTTTGCAGTGAGTTAATTTGTCCAAGAAGCCCAGGCTGCGTGCAGACCACCCACTCCGGCGTTTCCGGAGGCCTCCGTGGCAGCCCCGGGCAGAGGCTCAGCTCAGGGGTCTCAGAGCCCTGTGGGCCACATGCCTTTGCAATGCTGGAAAAGCTAAATTCCAACACACTTCCTGCTGGGGGTGTGGACGCAGGACCCACATTTTATTCAGGATTTTGAAGGGTGGATAAATTGGTGTCTAAGACCACAGGGCCCAAGGCCTCTTTGTGGGGGAAGTGGGGTGTCTGATTGCCAATTCGGTTTCCTTAGGGCTGAGGTTTGCTCAAGGTTTCTGCTTCTGAGACAGTTTTTTTTTGTTTTTTGTTTTTTGTTTTTTGTTTTTTTTTTGGGACGGAGTTTCGCTCTTGTTACCCAGGCTGGAGTGCAATGGCGCGATCTTGGCGCACCGCAGCCTCCGCCTCCTGGGTTCAGGCAATTCTCCTGCCTCAGCCTCCTGAGTAGCTGGGACTGCAGGCATGCACCACCATGCCCAGCTAATTTTTTTGTAGTTTTAGTAGAGACGGGGTTTCACCATGTTGACCAGGATAGTCTTGATCTCTTGACCTCGTGATCCACCCGCCTCGGCCTCCCAAAGTTCTGAGACAGTTTTGACGGCCTGCATGCCGCCCCGACTTTCAGACCCACTGACCCACAGTCGCCTCGTCCCTCTGCCGTCCGGGAACTCAGCGGAGTCAGTGCTCCTCTCAGATCTGCGGGGCGTCGCGGCTGCAGGTTTGTTTTTTCTCACCCTGTTCCGCTGCCTCTGACTTAAGGAACTCCTGTGGGCGTCCCCTCCTCTCCCTGCTCTCCAGGACCCTGAGCTCTCCTGCTGCGGGAGGTAGATCCCCCTCGCTGGTTTCCCAGCCTCAGGCACCACCAGAGCCGGCTATTTTATTTATTTATTTATTTATTTATTTTGAGACAGGGGCTTTCTCTATCGCCCAGGCTGGAGTGCCGTGGTGCAATCATAGCTCACTGCAGCCTTGAACTCCGGGGCTCAAGCAAGCCTCCTGCCTCAGCCTTCCGAGTGGCTGGGACAACAAGCATGTGCCACCATTCCCAGCTATTTTTTTTTTTTTTAATTTGTAGCAACAGAACGTTGGTTTGTTGCTGTTACATGTAAATTTTCATTGCTGCAAAAGAAGTAGCACCCGAATGTAAATTTTCTCACAAGGCAGCTTTGCTTTCTGCAGAAAGGGTACAGTCAACCGCAGTTTGCCACAAGAGTACACGAACAAAGGAGGCAGGGCCACTTAATCTGACACATCCACCCTGTTGCTGTGTCCTGGTTCCACTGGCTGGAGCTGGACCTCACAGCCGAGGCTGCACCCGCTCGGCTAACAACTTCAGACTTTCCTAAATAGCTAAAGGCAGCACAGAGCGAAGGAAAACAGGGAGTCACCTGACAAAGCTCAGGCAAAGCTGCTTCCAAATAAGGAAGGGGAATAAGCTATGCTCTCAGGCATGTCAGGGCAAATATCTAGGTGAACTTCTAAGAACTAAGAACACTGGATAAGCATTTCTTTATCATGACTAATAACTATTCAGGAGTATTGGCAGAGGGTCTCGAGCAAATTAACTTCTTAAACAGCTATTATTTATGATGAACTAAGAGAAAAACTTTGAAGAGGAACTTTTTATTTTCTACAGTTACCCACGCTGGTGTGGAACTTCTGGGCTCAAGCAATCCTCCCACCTCAGCCTGTAAAGAAGCTGGGACCACACACACGTGCCACTGCTGTGCCCAGCTAACCTTTAACATGTTTTTTTCAGACGGAGTCTCGTTCTGTCGCCCAGGCTGGAGTGCAGTGGCGTGATCTCAGCTCACTGCAACTTCGTTTCCTGGGTTCCAGCAATTCTCCTGCCTCAACCTGCCGAGTAGCTGGGACTACAGGCATGTGACACCACACCCAGCTAGTTTTTTTTGTTTTTTGGGGTTTTTTTTGTATTTTTAGTAAAGACGGGGTTTCACCATGTTGTCCAGGCTGGTCTTGAACTCTTGACCTTGTGATCCGCCCACCTCGGCCTCCCAAAGTGTTGGGATTACAGGCGTGAGCCACTGCACCAGGCCAACATTTTTAAATGCTGTAAAATCTGCAGTTTTTTTTTTTTTTTTTTTCCAATCAAGTTTATAGCTTATCACTCCACGGATCTCCCAAGGCCGAGATAGGCTGGGACATCCTCCAGGCCCCCGAGGAGTCCTCCCACTGTCTTGGGAGGGCCTGTGGAGTCTCAAGTTCATTTTGTTATGTTTACTAGGTTTTGTTTTATAGTCGCTAGTTAGATTTACTAACATTTTCCAACTTCTTGGCTCAAGGGACTTCATTTTAATAAACAACACTTTTTAGTTGCTGTCTGAGTCAGTGTCTCTATGTGATGAGCTCTCCCAGTGTGTGTGTTAGGAAAGGTCTGTACTTGGCCGGGCGCGGTGGCTCATACCTATAATCCCAGCACTTAGGGGGCCCAGGCAGGGCAGGCGGAGCATGAGGTCAGGAGTTCGAAACCAGCCTGGCCAACAGGACAAAACCCCATCTCTACTAAAAATTGGAAAAAAATTAGCAGGGCATGGTGGCGTGTGCCTGTAATCCCAGCTACTCAGGAGGCTGAGGCAGGGGAGTCCGGGGAGCAGAGGCTGTAGTGAGCCAAGATCTCGCCACTGCACTCCAGCCTGGGCAACAGAGCGAGACTGCATCTCAGAAAAAAAAAAAAGAGCGAGAGAGGCACAGGCTCCAGAAGAGGTGTGCATCTGGCCCAACATTCAGAGAGCAAGCCAGGATCGGGGGCCGGAAGAGCGAGGGCCTCTGCAGGGAGCCAGGGGCCCAGCCTCGGACACCCTGAGCGCTCAGCAGGGCCTCCCGCCAGACGCCAATGCCCTGGACACCGCCCAGCTGCTCCGGGGCTTGGGGCCACAGCCCAGCCTCCAATCCTGCCCCAGGCGTGGCTGCTCAGCCTGGAATCCTGGCTCTGGGTGAGGCTCCTGATCTGTCTGATGGCTTTTGAACCGTCCTGGACACGGGCATCTTTCTGGGCCTCCTCCGGAGAAGAAAGAGGACAGCAGGAATGTCTGGTGGCTCCGGACCCCTGGGCGGCCCAGCCTGTCTTTCCAGCCTGTAGGCCAGGCCTGGAGGGGTCATCAGAGGAACCTCAGATCAGCCCCTCTCCCACCAGCAGCTGGAGTGGGGATGAAACAGGGAGACCAGCGGCGTCAGCTGAATGGATTCTGTTACAGCAACCAATTTCATCTGAATGGTCATTACTGTGATTTATAGGCGACTTGGGCTGCTTTGCTCCCAAATTTGTCTCCCGTCCACTTGATATTGATTGAAAGACAAAGCTGCGGCCTGTGAGTAGAGGCAGGGAGGGCGGGGCTGCCTAAGCGGACTCAGGGACCACTAACCCTACCGCTCTGCTCTGATTGCAGGGGCACCAAGCACAGCTGTGCTGGGAAGATCAGGGAGGTGGCAGAGAGGACCCGGCGCCCTCAGTGTCCAGCACATATCCCCTGGCCTCTGCCCTCCCTGCCACCCCACCCTGGCCCAGAAGCACCTGCCACCAGGTGGCCCATCCTTCCAGAAGCTTCCTGAAGATGGGACCATCCTCTCCCAGGCCCAGCTGGTCCCCACAAAGGGCCAGGTGTGGAATGACCCAGGGCAATGCTGACCTCTTCCGATGATGAGGCCAGAAACTCAAAGGACCTCTTATCCCGTTTCCCCGTTTCCTCCTGTCCGGGAATCAGAACTGAGGCTGCCAGCCTCCACAGGTGCCAACCACCCAAGAGACGGCATGGTAGGGACGGTAAGCTGGTGGTCAGGAGCCAGCAGTCTCCGGCCTCCTCCAGCCTGGGCAGCACCCAGCTACAGCAGCCAGGCTGGGTGGTCAGGGGCTGCCTCTGCCCCATGGCACAGGCCAGCTTCAGGGCCACTGGGGATGAGACCAGGACCTGGACTGCACCCAGGCAGCAGCCCCCGGGCTATAGACGCAGCCAGGCCCCTCTAACTCCCACCCCCACCCATGTCCTTCTCCTTCTGACCCCTCAGAGCCCCTCCTCCC